TGATGTAGTCGATGAAATAAATGAGTATTACGACTGTAGATATTTATCTGCATGTGAAGCATCATGGAGAATTTTTAAATATGATGTTCATTACAGATATCCTTCTGTGGTTAGACTTCTTTTCATCTTCCTGGTCAACAACAAATCGTATATGGGGAAGACGATGATATTCACGATGTTCTCGACAAACCCTCCGTTGCTTTTCAATGTTCACAGCTTGGATGGAGTGTAATGCAGTTAATGGTGATGCACGGAAACTTACGTATGTTGAATTTCCTACAAAGTTTGTTTGGAATCGTGGTGATAGGATTTGGAAGCCAAGGGAAGTAGGAAAGTGCATTGGTAGAATTCATTCGGTTTCACCTAAACTAGGGGAAGCTTATTTCCTAAGGATTTTGTTAAATAAGGTGAAAGGTCCGAAATCATTTGAAGAAATTCGCACAGTAAATGGTGAAGAATATTCTTCTTTTAGAGATGCTTGTTATGCTCTTGGGCTCTTGGATGATGACAATGAATACATCGATGCAATCAAAGAAGCAAGTCATTCTGGATCTGGTTTTGACCTACGATTCTTATTTGTTACATTGTTGATGTGTAACAGTATGTCTAAACCGGAGGTTGTTTGGGAAAACACATGGGAATATTTGGCAGATGGAATTCTTTATAACCAACGACATAGATTCAAGTCTCCGGGTATTAAAGATTATTATTATTATTATTATTATTATTATTATTATTATTTAAGTAGTCATTTATTTATTTTTAAACATACATTAAATAATACTTTTAATTATAAATAAATATTGTTAATAATATTTCTAATTACTTAGCTCTTTGTCCTCCAGACTTATCACTCAATGAAGATCAGCTTAAGAACTTAACTTTGTTCGAGATAGAACAAGTTTTACTTCGGAATAACTCGAGTCTAAAAAATTATAAAAACATGCCTATCCCGGATCTTGATTCTGTTTCTTCTTCAAACAATCGACTTATCACCGAGGAGCTAGAATATGACATTACCGCTATGAAGACCGAGTTTGATCGTATGTTTCTTGCATTGACAAATGAGCAGCGTCACATTTTCCTTGATATCATGAGTGCAGTTAAAGAAAATAAAGGAGGTGTCTTCTTTGTTTATGGTTATGGTGGAACTGGTAAAACTTTTTTATGGAAGACAATATCTGCCGCTATTAGAAAAGATGGTCATATTGTTCTAAATGTTGCTTCAAGTGGGATTGCTTCATTATTATTGCCCGGAGGTAGAACAGCACACTCCCGATTTATAATTCCATTTGAACTAACAGAGGATTCTGTTTGTAGAATAAATCCAGATAGTGACCTTGCAAGCTTATTGAGAAAAACCTCATTGATAATTTGGGATGAAGCTCCTATGGTCCACAAGCACGCATTTGAAGCTTTAGATCGAAGTTTGAAAGATGTATTCAAGTCTGAAAATTCTAGCAACTCAGATATTCCGTTTGGAGGGAAAGTTATTGTTTTTGGAGGATATTTTAGACAGATCTTACCTGTTATTCCAGGTGGAAGTAGACAAAACATTGTTAATGCTTCGTTAAGTTCTTCATATTTATGGCAACATTGCAAGATCCATAAATTAACAAAAAACATGAGACTAAGTGTTGGAAGGGATCAATCTGATATAGAAAAAATCGGAGATTTTGCAAATTGGTTGTTGGATATAGGAGAAGGCAAACTTGGTGGTATCAACGATGGACAAAACGGTTATTGATATTCCAGATGATATTCTCATTAATGATGCACATGATCCTATAGGTTCATTAATCGAGTTTGTATATCCTTCGATTTTGGAAAAGTACAACAATACAAGCTATTTTCAAGAAAGAGCAATACTTGCTCCAAAGAACGAAGTGGTTCAAGAAATAAACGATCGTTTGCTATTGAAATTTCCAGGAGATGAGGTTGAATACTTAAGTTCAGATAGTATATGCCAATCTGAATTTCTCCATGATCAATTTGATGCAAATTTATATTCACCTGATGTTTTAAATGGTCTGAAAGTATCAGGTTTACCAAACCATAAGTTAGTTTTAAAAATCGGTGTTCCAGTTATGTTGTTGAGAAATATTGATCAGAAAAACGGCTTGTGTAATGGAACAAGACTCCAGGTGATTTCATTGGGCAAACGTGTTATTGAGGTACGTATCATATCTGGAACTAATATTGGAAACCACACTTTTATTCCAAGAATGTCTCTAACTCCATCAGAAAAGAAAATTCCATTCAAATTTCGAAGAAGACAGTTTCCATTGGCTGTATGTTTTGCAATGACCATTAATAAGAGTCAGGGACAGTCATTATCCAAGGTTGGTTTGTTTCTCAAACATCCCGTGTTTTCACATGGCCAATTGTATGTTGCTTTATCTAGAGTCCAAAGTAGGGACGGATTAAAATTGTTAATTTTAGATAAGGATGGTAGTCTCACAAATAAAACTTCCAATGTCGTTTATAAGGAAGTTTTTGGGAATTTATAAACAATGCTTTTCTACCATCTTTTATTTACTTTTCTACCATCTTTTATTTACTTTTCTTGTATCGTACTTCATCTATCATATTAATTAATTAATTTTTACAACTTTATTGTATTTGACTTATTCATATTAATGCTAATATCACTATTCTTCATTTTTTCTAAACTTTCATATCTTTTTTTTGTTACAAATTAAAAACTATAATTATATTTCAATTTATCACCCGTGGATTTCCACGGGTTTAAACCTAGTTAATAATATGGGGAAGAAAAGACCAAGCACCCTTAAAAGATGCCATGTGGCAAATAGGGATGGTAGAAAATGGACATGTGACATATTTAGTGTTCTATAAGGCGCGCCATGGCTCGCTATGGTGTGAGGAGTGGCTTCGCCATTACGAAAAACCTCATAATGTTGGTGTTAGGCATGTCGTGTGGCAAGACGCGATATGGAGCGCCATGGCGCGTTATGGTGTGTTTTTTCGTTTGAGATACAATTTTTTGCTATTTGTTATGTCTTATCTAATCGGAGATACAAATATTTTGATTTTTGTTAACTTTTTGTTATTATTTGTTGAACTAATATTGTTAAAAGTAGTTATATTTAATATACATTTATATTTATGTGGTAATATAATTTTAAATTAATACAAAATTTCCGCCTTGAAAAACATCATGGCTCACCATGATTCGTTAAGCTCGAGGCTTGACCATGCTGCCACACCACGCCTCACACCATTTAAAACCCTTGGACATATTTAAATTTTGTTTATTAGGAGAGGTAAATGTTATTAATTGAAATCTTAGATACATCACTATATTTATATGATTTAAAATTTCTTATGAATACTATTTATAATAACTACTATATAAAAGTATAAATTAATTTAAGGTATATTCATATATTTATGAATACTATTTCATTATTTTTTCTAATTGTATCATTTATTTGTATTATATTAAATAAAAAATATAATGTCAAACTAACTTATATAAAGTAAAGGATAAATCCAAAAAAAAAAAAAAAAAAAATCTTAAACTTTTTCTAAAGTTAAAGGTAAGTCATTTTAAAAAAATAGTTAAAATTTCTTAATAGAACCAAATCCTACCAAAGTGGAACCGAAACATGTTATTGGTATTCGGTTATTGGTTTATAGCTTATTCATATTTCAATTTTTCCAGTTTCTGTACGGATCAGTGCAGTTTATATGCTTAACTGGAAGAGGACTACATATCGAAAAGAAACAATTTGACGTTTGCAAAACGAAACTAATTGTCAGCTGAAAACTAATCGTTGAAACGAAACAAGTGCATCATATGAGTACCCTACAATACAAGACATAAAATTAGTTGAGAATGACCCAATACATGGATAAAAGTAATTTTTTCAAATCCACATTTTAGATTTACTACTTCATTCTTAGACCGTCTGATATGCATACCACGAAATGGGTCGTGGTCTATGTGGACACGACCGTGGTTAGTGCATACCACCCCGGACCTTAGTGGTTCTTTGTGGTTGTTGTTCTTTGTGGTGGGGAGAACGAAAGAGCACGCCCAATCAGATTTCTTCTTCTCATTTTTTCTCTCTTTCTTGTCTCTATCTCTCTCTAAAATAATATATATATATATATATATATATATATATATATATATATATATATATATATATATATATATATATATATATATATATATATATATATATATATATATAATTTAAAAGCAAAAAACGAAAAAAATAGTGATGGGTGACAACCAAGACTAGTAGGTATAAGGATGACGTTGCAATGTCATTTTTGTTAACATCCTATGGAAAAACTTTCAAAAATCGGGTGAAGCAATTGGTTTTAGAATATAGTATCTGGATCCAAATATCCTGACCCAAATGCAGGCTTGGGTCCCACTGAGACGACTTTTGGTTTTCCTTTCCACGCTCGAAACACAGCATGGAATATTACCATATTCGTTACGATAGCCATGAGCAACGCACTTCCTTCATCATTCTCACCCGCTCACAACTATATATATAATATTTTTTGAATTTTTTTATATACATTCAACACCGTCGTGCGACTACGTTGCAGTCCTCAACTTTTTTGTTATTAAATATTTGCAAGCGAGCGAGAGAGTGATCTACATAAGGCCGGCGCCCCTCAAATCCATAATCCATTTGTTTTTATTCAAATCTGCAATTTAGAGGTAATTTGCAGAAGTTAATGCGGCTGCTTCAGCTTAATCCCTCATAATATCGGTTAATTTCAGTCCTCTCATCAAACTGGTACGTAGATACATGTATTCTTCTTCATTTCAACTCTCCGAATTTATTGTTATCCAGTATTATTGCGCCAATTTTGAAATCGGATTCACTAGCGCTGGAGCTGTTGTATTTTGGGGATTTTTTCGTGTGTTTTAACTTTTCCTGTTCGAATCAAGCTCCATGTACGTATAGTTTGGTGAATTACGTGCTTATTAGTTAGCTTATATACTATCGTCTATCTGCTGCACTCTGTTCCAGTGTTTTTGTTTAATTTAGGAATTTGTAAGTATTTCCATCACGAATAAGGAACCCTAGCTCAGATGGAATCGTTGTATTTCATGATCTATAAGTCAACTAACGCCAGCTATCTGTTTTTTTACCTTTTGATCAGGCGCCATGGCAACAAAGCTGAATTCAGGAGACAACAGAAGCCGGAGCTTCGTTTATATATTCATCATCGCCAGTTTGTGTGGTTTCTTCTATCTATTTGGGCGATGGCAGAGGAGTGGATTCGGGAAAGGAGACTTGCTAGTCATGGATATAACAAAAACCAGTAATACAAACTGCAATTCGATCCCAAATCTAAACTTCGAAACTCACCACAGTGGGATCACTGACAACGATTCAACATCACAAACCCTAGATTTCCCAGCATGCGATGCTAACTTCACAGATTACACACCATGTCAAGATCAAAAACGAGCAATGAAGTTCCCAAGAAACGATATGATCTATCGAGAAAGACATTGTCCTCCACAAGAAGAAAAGTTGAAATGCCTTGTTCCTGCACCACAAGGATACGTGACACCATTTTCATGGCCTAAAAGTCGTGATTATGTTCCTTACGCAAATGCACCATACAAGGCGTTAACAGTTGAAAAAGCTATTCAAAACTGGATTCAGTATGAAGGCAACGTGTTTAGATTCCCAGGTGGTGGAACACAGTTTCCTCAAGGAGCTGATGCTTACATTGATCAACTTGCTTCTGTGATACCCATTGATAATGGGACTGTGAGAACTGCACTTGACACCGGTTGTGGGGTATGTATGTTTAATATTCAAATCTTTCTGAATGTTGGGGTTTTTAAATTTATGATATTTTTTTTCGTTGTTGTTGATTTTAGGTTGCAAGTTTTGGTGCATATCTATGGAAGAGAAATGTGATAGCTATGTCATTTGCACCTAGAGATAACCATGAAGCACAAGTTCAGTTTGCACTTGAAAGAGGGGTGCCAGCTGTCATTGGTGTTCTTGGTTCCATTAAAATGCCATATCCTTCTAAAGCTTTTGACATGGCTCATTGCTCCCGCTGTTTGATTCCATGGGGTTCAAATGGTGAAGACAATTTTTAATCTTTACAGTTTTAATTAATTGGGTGGATTTTTCAAAGTCCTAAAGTACATTTGTATTTGTTGATGTAGATGGGAAGTACATGATGGAAGTTGACCGGGTGCTAAGACCGGGTGGGTACTGGGTACTTTCGGGTCCTCCAATTAATTGGAAAAACAACTACAAATCATGGCAACGCACTTTAGAGGATCTAGAAGAAGAACAACTCAAGATTGAATCCATTGCTAAACTTCTTTGTTGGGAGAAAATATCCGAAAAGGGCGAAATGGCCATTTGGCAAAAAAAATCAAACACCGAATCATGTCGCCCCACCGAAAACACCCCCGGGATTCAATTCTGCTCCAACGATCCCGATGACGTTTGGTAAAAATAAACATTTTATTTTATTTATTAATTCTTTAATTCTGTTAGAACATGAAGCTTTGATTTAACATTGCGGAATGTAGAAGTGCATAATCGAAAGAAACGAATTAATATTTAAGCACAATTTGAATACTCTCTCTCAAACTAATCTAATCGTCTATATAAAATGAAAGCTCTCTCAACTTACAAAGAATACTAAACTAGTATATATAGGAAAACTCAACCCATAAACCCATAAGTCACAAGGCTTGAATTCCACACATGTCATAAAATGATGAAACCTTCGGGTCATCACCAAATGAAGAACTTTGCACCCTAACAAATTCAACGAAAACAATTATAATTTTTTTATATTATAGGTACAAGAAAATGGAAACATGTGTGAGTGCTGGAAGTGGAGGTGATTACGTGGCGTTTCCTGAACGACTTTATGATGCGGTCCCACCGAGGGTTGTTAGCGGGTCGATTCCGGGTGTGTCGGTTGAGAAATATATGGAGGATGGTAAAAAATGGAAGAAACATGTGAATGGATATAAACGGATGAATGGAATGATTGATTCCGGAAGGTATCGGAATGTAATGGATATGAATGCCGGTTTGGGAGGATTTGCAGCTGCGATTCATTCGTCTAAGTTGTGGGTTATGAATGTTGTTCCGAATATCGCTGAGACAAATACTCTTGGAGTTATTTACGAACGTGGCCTTATTGGCATATATCACGACTGGTATTTTATATTTCTATACAAATCTTTTAAAAATTAAATTAGATTCTTAAATTAGAAAAGCGTTAATTTTAATTAATTAATAATATAATATTGCAGGTGTGAAGCGTTTTCGACGTACCCACGCACATATGATCTCATTCATGCCAATGGTTTATTCAATTTGTACAATGACAGGTATACCAAAGTTTTATTATTACTATTATTATTATTTTTTTTCTTTTCTTCATTAATTGTTTTTTTTTTAATTTATTAAATGTAGATGTGATTTTGAAGACATTTTATTGGAAATGGATCGGATCTTAAGACCAGAAGGAGCTGTTATAATACGTGATGAAGTGGATGTGATTATGAAGGTGAAGAACATAGCCACGTCACTAAGATGGGATACAAAATTAGCGGATCATGAAGATGGGCCATTGGTTCCGGAAAAAATACTCATAGCCGTTAAAAGATATTGGGCAGTCGACAATCAAAACAACACGACAACATAATTTTTTTTTTTTTTTTTTTTTTAATAAATATTTCTTTCACTTAATTTAATTTACCCTTTTTTTTTTGTTTGTTGTGTACCAACATTGAAAAAGAGATCGAGCAAAAGGTTAAAATAGTCATTTTCTTACACAGTGAATGTGAGTTTGACATAACATAACATTCATATGTACACAAAAGGGGAACTGTTTGATATAAATGGGATATCTATCTATGACTTATCGGGTCGTGTTCGTATAAAGCAATCACTATTCATTATGGATAAGGAAGGCGGATCTAGCTAGCTATGTATTATATATATATATATATATATATATATATATATATATATATATATATATATATATATATATATATATATATATATATATATATATATATATATATAGGATCGGATGAAAATAGAAATAATTTGACGAAAATGTACAAGTGATCATAAAAATCAAAAGTTTTTGTTGATTATTAAAAAAAAAAAAAGACGAGAATATCTTGCGAAATCCTTAGATTTTTTTGATTACTCGTGAACATTCATGATTCATGGTCCCAAAAAGATGTGGAATAAACACCACAAAATGTAATGGCAAATGGAAATAGAGTCGTTTAAACATCATCAACCTAACAGTAACATTTGTCTAATATACTGACAAGATTGGTGTAATAATCAATCATTAATTCATATAAAGATAGTACCATGAAATTAAAGTTTTTTCGTCGGCAAGGACGCAAAAAAGACATCAAAATTGATGTTAATTCTATGCATGGGCCATATTGTTATTATTGTAAGTTTAACGTGACATCGAGTTGATGTACGAACTATCATAATTCATATATATATATATACGGTTGTTTGCGTGCACAAAAACAACCAAGTGACCTACCCTCCTAAGTCATTCTATACCTTTTGGGTTAGTACTTCAATTTTGGTTGCAAATGGAAAAGTAAGATCATTTAACAACTACTATACATGGACATATTGTCGTGTACTTCTATTTAACACTAACACTTTCCGTTTCATGAATACTACTTCAATAATATCTTAGACAATTTTTTTTAATAACCAATCAAATCTGTTTGTATGAATTGAAAAAAGAACGTCATAAATAACCGAGTTTGACAATAAACTATTCGTAATTTATCTCAATACCAAATATCACCAAAATATAGAATTCAATATATTCTAATTTACTTATTTTAAATATTAAACGATTTTATATAAACTAACCAAAGGGCTTATAGCCCAACGATATTTTGTGTTGTCCTCCCTCTTTGGGATCGAAAGTTCAAATCTCATTATAAACCTATATGGATTTAGGAGTAGTTTAAGAGTAAAACAGATTTGTCGTTCAAAAATAATAATAATAATAATAATCTCAATATTTATATAGTTTCAACTTAATTGGTATTTTTGCTATTTTTTCTATTTAATTACTTCTAGAGTTTCAACTTAATTGCATCAGTTCAGTGCAACCTCTCTATATATTATCATACAATTTGTGTCGTGTAAAACATATACTAAGAGCCAAATGAAAGGATAGCATCATGACATTAATAGCTAAAGAGGCTTTAAACATACAAAAAGGAATGAAACTTTATGGATATTAATTATTTCACGTTCTTTGTAAATCATTATACATGATTTGAACTGAAAATCTCTAGTTTATCTCAACATCAAGCCATATTTTGGAATTTCAAGCTTAGTCCAACTCGATCTTTTTTAGAAATATGGACAAAGATGATGACACTCGCAATTTTAAGGGGAACAAAGTGTTAAAAGAGTGAAAAGTGTAGAAGCATATGCACATGCAATTGGCTTCTTTACCAACTCAATCACTCAAGCCATCTCCATAACACAACTCTCCCTATTTATACAACAAATGGCCCCCCTCCTCTTCATCACCCCCATACTTCCTTCCACTTCCAAAACCACTTTTCTAACACTTCATGAACACAACACTTTAACATCCACCACCAACTCATATAACCCTCTTTTCTTGCAAGAAAAAAAAACTATCTTTTTTCGTTCATTTGTTCTTAAACCCTCTCTTGGGTCTTGATCCATCATTCTTGCAAATAAAATTTCTTTTTTTGGTTGGTGTTCTATTGTTTCTCGTTGTGTTATACAAACATGATAGCATCGGAGAAAAGGGTTTCTTTGTTTGGAAACAATGTTGATCGCATAGATGCATCATTTTCATCTTACATGAACGAAAACCCTACGATGCTCAAGATTACTCTCCCAAGTAATCAGAAAAAGAAAGTAGAGGATGGAGAAATCGGGATTTTCGGGGCCGAAAAATACTTCAAAGGAGCCATGGATGAACAACTTCCAAGAACTCCTCACTCCATCAACCCTCCAAACCATCATCCAAAGGGCAAAATAGTAAAAGACGACGAAGAACCAACTAAACCAAAAACCGGATCCACAACTCCAAGCGTTCGGTCCGAATCCAGCTGGAATAGCCGAACCGGTCTTTTGGTTAACAATGGTAACCGAAGGATTCCCAAGTCTCAAAAGGAGAAACCCACCCGTGTAAAGAGCTTATTGATCTCCCTTGGTTGCAACTGCAACGACAAGGGCTCAGTTAAAATCGCTGAAAAGAAAGTTCTTGTCAAAGAACTTTCGAAACCGCCAGCGAAATTCGCTGACGGTTTCACTGACGACAAGGCGAACACGAAGAAAGAAGATTCCTTCGTGTTTCCTGTCTTGAACGCTTTCCCACCCGCCAAAACCAATACACCACCGGAAGTGGAAGAAGGCGACATCACTCATGTGAAAACAAGAAGAAACTCATTGGAGGCTTTCGGTTCACCGGTTTTGGAAAAGGGGAAGAAATCATTTAGCTTGGAGAGGAAGTTAACTATGTTGAATTGGGATGGAGTGACACCGAGAGTCGAAAACATCGGGGAAAACAACGATGCGGGAAGTGATGCGAGCTCGGATTTATTCGAGATCGAAAGCTTTTCAACTAATGGGAATAACTCGTTTCTTGCACGACAAGTTTCAAATGGGAGGTCAAGCAGTGCAACACTTCCAAACGGGTACGCCCCGAGTGAGGCCAGCATTGCATGGAGTGTTGTCACCGCTAGTGTGACGGGATTCTCGATTATCTCCGATTACGAGGACACCACACGGACTAATTCAAAGACTCATATGGAACGAGTGATTAAAGGAACCGGGATTCTTTCCGGTTGTACAAATCATAAATCCGTTCGAGTCGCTGGAGAACGTGTGGTGGTTAGTGGCGGCGACAAGGCGGCGGTTACAGGCGGTATGAAGGGCCGGTTGGATTCTGTCGGGACTATTATGAAATTTCAAACGGAGAGCAAGCCGACGCGTGCTTCACACCACATGTACATTCAACAGCAATAGGGATCGAGTAGTACATTACATTTGTGTTGTTTAAAAATTACATATCAGTGTTTAAAGATTTTCTTGTCCAAAGTATTTATTTTTTTAATGAATGGAGATGAGTTTCGTTTTAGTATTTCATGCATAAACAATAGTACACTACCTACTTGTCTCTTAGTACATTAAAGTACAAGTTTTTTTTTTTTTTTTTTTTTTTTTAATAGCGTATATAATAACTGGACACTATAAACACTGGTATAAACACTGGTGGTTGAATTTCCTATCAAACATTAATTCATCAACCATATAAATTTATGCACTGTGGGTGCCACTATGCGTTATCCTAAAGTTAAAAATATTTATATTCGTGACATGTTTGTATAAAGAAACACCGACTCCATGTGTAAGGTTAGATTCACGAACTAGTTCAGTTTAGAGTGGAAATCAGATCTAAAATGAAATAAAATAAAATTGCAATGATTTTGTCTAGTTGTTGGGTAAGCAAAATGCATAGGATAAGAGAATATATATATAGAATGAAATGATTGGCATATGATATGACTTAGTGAAGTGAAGCAGATGAAGTTAAACAGTCTCCATACTGACATAATAATTGTAGCCCTAACATTGGGATAAGAATAATCTAGAACATGAAACACAATCTAAACCAAATCTTTATTTGGTTTATTGGTTGATGTTTATGGTTATTAGTTACTAGTTATTGATTACTGATTGGTTATTAGTTAGTAGTTATTGATTATTGAGTAAAACAATCAAAAAGCGTGAAACAAGAAGTTGGAAATTTGCAAAAGGGATTGGGATGATGAAATTAAAAAAAGATTGTATTTATCTGAAATAAAGAAGTGGACATTTAGCTACCACCCCTAATTGTGGAATTCTTGAGTTTATAAGGCCAAAAAAAAGGAATTTATGTCATGGATGAATTAATAGTGATACAGAAAGTGGTCCCTGATGGAAACTCTTGCCATTTGGAAAGTGAAAGATGGTTGTTTCTATAAATTTTGCAACAAGATACAATAAATATAATGTTTTTATGAAGTCAAAGAGTTATCTAAACTTTAGATATTGATATAGAAGTGCAATAAGGTACAAAGATAATGTTTTCATTTGTTAAAAAATATATATTTTTGATGAAAAAAGTTAAACATGTGAAAATTATAACTGGGTATTTTGTTTGGTGGTAGGAATTTTACAAGACATTTATGACAACTCAGATACGAAAATATATATGTATGCATACATGCATACATGTATACAATTATTCATCATGGGACAGAATGTCTTTTGCTATGAATCATGTATATATGTATTCTTGCATGTGAAAAAACACAGGCCCACAAACACTTCAACAGGAGTTTCATGTGTACACAATTATTTCCTATTTGAACTTTTTTAGCGACAAACTTACAAATCTCAAGACTTACTTTTTTTTTTTTAATATAACGAAAATAGAAATTTATTTGTCGAAATATGTAAATTATATATAGGCATGTAGAAAATGTAGAAAATATGGAAAGATAGTGAGTGGATGATCCGTGGTGATGGATGTTGCAGCCTTTTTATTCAATGAACGAATGACACGTGGTTGTAGAAAAAGGTTCAGTCATTCAGATCTTTAACATCAGAACAGCT